AACGCATTCCAACTGCGGAGAAGCTGCAAGATTTAGAAGAAAATGAGTGCTGGCTGCTTGGCTTAATTTCTGACCGGTTTCCGTGTGATCGGTGTGTGCCAGCTAGCAGCTCGAGACGATTTTCCAGAGCGGCACTCCACTCGCGCTCTCCTGGGATTGACAAACGCTCCTCCTCTTTTGGTATGGAGGACGCGTATGCGAAGCAGCAGCGCAGGGCGGAGCTCCTGTGCTCGCTGTTCCCCGACGCGACCCGAGCCGGGTCGAACCCACTGCTTGCCTTGGGGTACCCGGGTTGCCCGATCCCGCACTGCCGACGGGCACCCAGTGACGAGGCTCGAGTCGTCGCCGAGATGACTTATGCATGCAGGCCGGAAAGTTGCATCGTGGCCGGAAACCGCCCCGTTGGCTAATCGATGCCTCATCCCGAGGCCGCTATAGGAACCTTCTTGATGTTCTTAATTGAGGCAACGAAGGAGCATTAGGCCCTGAAAGCTCTTTGACGTACGCGACGTGCATTATGCCGAGGGTTCCTGCGTCTCTTGCTGTCTCGCCCACATTTAAGGCAGGTGGGAGCTGGCAGATCTAGAAACGGTCCCGCGGCGATCAATGAGTCGATCTCGCGATGGAAACTCCGTGTCCGCCCGTCAGATTGTCAATTTTCTCCGCTGGTAACGCTGTCTCTGGGGAGAAGACGAGCGGCGTACTTCGGCTTTTCCATTCCGGCCTGGGAAGCAATCTCCTCGGGCCTCGTGTTTTTTAAACGGCTTGGGGGATTTGCGTGGCGGGTGCCGATGGAAAAGGGGTTGAAAGTCGGGCTGTTTCCTCCTCGAGATCTCTTCAGCGGGAACTCGACAACGACTTCCTGCATTTTTCATTTGCATTCCCCGGGAGACGAATCAAGCCCATCGCTGTTCTTTTTTCAGTCCCCGCGCCTCTATTCCCCCGTGGCTTTTATCTCGGGGTTCTCAGCTCGGCTTCATTGCGCATCTCACGAAGCTTGACTGTTAATTGCGTTTTTCTTTTGCCCGTTCATTACACTCCCTTGTCTGATTGTTGAGGTTGGTTTCTAGCGCGAAATGAGTTTAAATGTATCTCCGGGGAACAGCTTACTGAGCTCCATAGATGGGGATTTATTCTTTTTACGCAAGGGACTGAGTCGGGGGAACATTCATTCGATCTCCGGGCAAGTGGCCGTTGATCGATTTTTCGGATCGACATTTGGCGAATTTGCTTAATTGCCTGTGCATCGGGACTGAGTCGGCCGGAAATTGGATTAGCTATCGGCTGTGAGGACCAGGCTGCTGGTGGCTCTTGTCGATTTGCACGCTTTGGCGCGGACGAAGAAAAAAGGGGAGATCTCTGTCAAGAGCGAGGGGATATTCTCTCTTTACGGATTCACACAACCGGCTTCTGTTCTGCGTCGAAGGCGTGGAAACCCCGTCGGAAGTGTTAGGAAATTGCGGCATGGTTTCGTATTGTTTCCGCATCGTTTCATGCGGATGCTCCCCGACAGCGTTTTTGGCGGATCTTCTGAAAGGGACTCGCTTTTTTTCTCTCTCGCCAGAATCTGTTCGTCACTGCGTGTAGTTCCGGGAAATTTTTCGGGCTCGCTGATGTGTTTCCGCTTTTTTCTTGTCATGGTGACGAGTCGACGAGTGTAAATTATGATACGGTTTTCTGGGTATCTTGAACCAGGGCGAAAGATTCTCAGCCGGATGAGCACGGTTCTCATTCTCACGTCTCCGCATTCTGTTCATATGATTTTCAAAATGTCGCTCGTCAGAGTGACATGATGTGCTACATTATGTTGATGAATCTCTTTTTACCGAGCGACACATGTTATGCGGAACGCCGTCGCAAAATCCATCGTGTCTTCCATCATAATTGCTGGTTCGATTATTATTTTGGCCTCTGTAACGCCACTTTAAGCGAATATAGGCTACTTTTTCCTCCGTAAAAATGTCTTGAAAATCCGGGTCAAGCCTGTACTCAAAAAAAGTTTGATATGAAAAAATGGTCTCAATACATTTGGAGTTCAAGTCCAATTTCAATTCCAATGAAAAATTTAAAAGAGTGTGTAATATGTCTTGCATCGTATTCTCCGTTTGAGACATATTTTTTAAAGTCGTGATTTCTCTTGGCAATGTGCTCTCTCCTTCACGCTGATGCTTTTAGATTTCGCCGAATTTTCGGACAGTGGAATTATGATCGAAATTTGTAATCAAGTGTTCGCGAAATTACCGGTTGCGAATGAGTTTATTTCCGGCTGTCTATTACATTTTTTAGACAGACGAATTTTTTTCGGAGATTTTCATGCCATATCGTGCTTTGGGTTTTGTGAAAATAGCTGATGAATAGAACTGAAATATGTAACGTTTTGGTGTATTGTACCTCTTCAAAAGCATATCAACGTTCGAGTACCACCTGCTGAACTGAGTACTGACTAAAGTTATTGTATTCAGAAGTGCTTTGCTTAATGATTAGGTTTCGTCAGAAACCTCTTGACATTTATGCAATTTTATGGTGCCTCCATTGGCTGTATACAACCAGTAAAAACGTGTAACGTTAGTTTAAAAAAAAACTTCACTTGAATTATTCTATGCACCATCGATTTTGTGACGCACCTAAACGTTTTTGTGATTAAAAAGGAACACCTTTATGACCAGCAAATTCAAGTTTCACATTCATTACAATGCATGTGAATATTAATGTCGTCCGAATTTATTGAATCTTCTAACATTTTCAGAGTTCGTTGTTTCTACTCGAGCTGCGCTAGCTCAGCCTTCTCTGAAGATTCAGAGTTGCAACTCTTTCGTCCATGAGCTGAGAATGATCGGCAAGATTTGTCCGATTATATTTCCAACGTTGTTTTGCAATTCCAGGATTGCGTTGGTCAGAAGCAATCGTACTTTCCAGTGTTGGCGTCGAAGACACGCCCAGTATTTTCAGCGCCTATTTTCATGAAAAAACTTTTCCATTTAACTAATTCCGGAATAAATCTCTCCTCGACCTTGAAAACAGACAGCGAAGTATTCTTAGTGATGTCATGGTTGGGTTTCACGAACCGTATCAAGTTGCATAAAAAGATGCGATGTATATAACCGCGATGTATTCAACGGTTGATGGTTTCGATCGCATTTCTCCTCCGCTTTCAGTATATAGAGACAATACTCCATTCGTGCTCATCCGTTTCGAAACGTTGAGTTTGCATCGAGTTTGATGATGCGGGAGCCTATTCTGAATCGGCGTAGCAAGCTCGGAACTAATGTTCGAGCGGTGGGTGTCGTTGGGCAGATACGGTTTTTTTTTTCTTTCCCTTTTTTGGTGTCGGCGGCGGCGGCGGGACATTGATGACGCTGTCGTGTGTCGATGCATGAGTGACCTGATGTTTTGAAAAATACGAGAACGACGGCGAGGGAGTGTGGCGTTGGTAAAACGAGAGGTGCATTCCGGAGGGAGCCCGGAAGGGAAGGCGAAGATGGATCGTCGCGGCGGCTGGCATGGAACGCGGGTCGCTGCAGCTACCCCGAGTTTTCCCTGAAAATCCGGGCCGCGAGGCAGCGGACTCGGGTCGTCGCCGCTGTGTAGTAAGGCCCTGCAACGTCACGGTTGGTTCCCGACCCTTTTCCCCCCGCGATGTCCCGCGATGTTTTATTGCCGCTTGTCGGGTATCCTCCTTTTTCGTGTAGCGTTCCTGGAACGCTCTCCAGATCTGTTCATTTGTGCCCCTTATTCTCTGCACTGAGATGCCGTCTGCCCCCAGAATCTCTCGTCGTCACGTTACGTGCCTCTTTTCCTCATCCAGGGGCTAAAGTCGTCGTCTCGTTCGTGTCATGCGAGTGGGAGGCGCCTCAAAGGCGGCATTGCAAATAATGATGCATTGCTGGCATGACGTGTTGCGCTGATCAAAAATAGAGAATTCAGCAATGTAACGCGAATACAGCACAGTATTTACGCGACTGAAGACTACGTTTCCTCCCAAAAAAATAATCCCGAAAATTCGGATGCGGCGTGTACTCAATGTGCCAGTCCGCATCACTGTCATACATGGTTGGCTCGTAGTCGAGATTATATTCTCAAGTCTTTTGAGACGAAATCAAGTGGAATTATTTTTGGACCGCTGTTGAAAATCGTGATGAAAAATTTAATCGCCGAAGTACGGGAATTTCGAAAACACGAAGTTGAGGTGGGAGAGGGGGCGGGTAATTTCACCAATGCAAGTGGATTCCATTTTTGCGGTGATTTCTGTCGCTGCGATATTCGAAAGCTAGAAACGGATTGCTTTCTGTGATCGCGCTATAAACATAATTGGTGACACCGACGTTGATCAGGCGATATTCAGCTATTATACCGGACTGCCTAGAAGTAGCTTCATAGGATAAAACATGTGAGAAAAAGAACCACCATTTAACCGACAGTGTTTAAAAATCGGATGGAAGGAAACTGCCGCGCAGGATGTCGTTGACGGCGGACATCCGCAGTTGTTACCTGGACGTAGGGGTGACCGGAGTCGCTCGTCACATCCCCGGACGATGAGTGCGCGTTCCAGGAACAGGTTGTGAAGATAAGTTGTCGGATGTTTAATGACGGGTGTATTTATTCCGGATAGTCGCCTGCCTGCTGCTTGTTTAATTAAGTGTTTTGCCCTTATTAACGCCGTCGGACACGGAACAGTTGCGGGCGTGCACGAGGGACAATGAAACGGGAGTAGTGGAGGATCGTGGTAACAGATGCTTCAACTTGCTTTTATCGCCGTCTCGGATCGGTCCGTTCTGGTTTCACATCCCTTTTAGGCTCGATCCTTCATCGAATGGGTATCGTATCAATAATGGACCACCGTTTCCTTACCGCAACTCCCCACTATCACGCTCAAGCCGTGCGTGCGCTACGATTATGGGCCTGTTTGAAATTTCGTTATGATTCGCGGTTGTTAGACGAGCTGCTTCATTCCGTTGTGATTTTTCTTGAGTACACAAGTCCTGTAGATTCGTTTTTTGCAGGTGATGCCAGCAACGCGAGTATAGGGAGCGAAGGCACCGGCGACGATGACGACGACGAAAGAGGGAAGAAGAGCCAGAAGAAGCGTGGGATCTTCCCAAAAGTTGCCACCAACATTCTGCGAGCTTGGCTTTTCCAGCATCTTACAGTGAGTATTGTTATTTAACTTATTTTTTCAATTGCTATTTTTGTGAAGTACTGGGAGAATTATGAGTATCTGGCCTTTGGGCTTTTATCAACGATGCATCCGATTAACCATGATCAAATTTTGATCAGTAGAGGAAAACACGAAGTCTGACTTGTTTCCATCTAATCAAGTAATCATCTGGACTACAGTACTTAACTTCAGCGGGAATGCTGTTTATACGAATATCCGGTCAGGTCATCCTTGAAAATTTTTTAATGCGTTGCATATGGTTTTTAAATCTCAAGCAAAGACATGCGGTAATTAACGCGATTGAAGGTTGGATGTGTGAATTGTCCAACTTCATTGGAGAAGTATGAACTACTAATAATATTTTTAAAATACGTGCCCAATTTTCTCTTCTTTTTTCTGAACAAAGAAAATCCTACCTAGCCTCCCGGTAAAATGCTGGTTGCCTTGTACGCGCTCATTACCTTCTACGGTATTTCTTTTTGTAATTTTCGCGGTACTTCCCGCTTTGTGGATCCAGCACCTCACCTTATCGAGCAAGCATCCCGTCAGCTATTCTAATTTACAAGCAGTTTAAATGAGCCACAAAGTCTTTCAAGAACCTGAACCTGATTACTCCCGTTATTTCATGTACCAGTCGGGAATGAATGCTTCTGAGTCAGAACTTCGTATATGCGGAGTAATGGGGATGAAAACATCTAAGCATTCTAAGGCATCTCGCAGTATCAGAAGGAGCAGCATTCCAATTCACTCCACCTGATCACTTCTGTATTACATCTTATATTTGGCAGGGCGGAAATGAAGTTTGCCTAATATTTAGATTCGAAGATGAAACGGAGGAGCTCTCATCTTTCTTTTGACGATATTCGCTGATACAAATATTATCTGAAGCTGGCTTCACAAAAGTCCCGCGTTTTAAATATTTTTCAAGCGCGGCGAAATAAAAATCGACTTTGAGATTGGGAACACGAAATGATCAATTGTTGTCGATTCCTGAGAGGTAGTTTTCGAGAGATATTCTTCATAGTTGAGCATTGTCTGAGACGAGTGAGACGTTGAGGATGTCGTGGAAGAGTCGCCGTGACCCGATTGTTTTTCAAGAATCGTAGTTATTTTCCTATTAGCCTCCTTAGGGTGGGGTTGTGCTTGTTCTTCACTGAACTGAAATAAGAGTAATGAACGGCTGCCGGTGACAGGGTTTGGCAATCGAATGGGTATACTCCGTTGCCCTGGAAGCTGGTTGCGTAAGGGAGGGAAATGGGGCGTCCATTTGCGGTGAGGGCGCCGATTTTCTGCCGTGGATTGTATAACATGGATGGTCTGTAGTAATCTGCAAGATCGGGATTCCAGCCAGCGACGAGGAAAAAGCCTTATGAATAATTTGCAAGGGAGATGGTTTGTGTCATTGGGGGAAAATTGGGCACGGAGATCCCCGGGGTCGTGAATGTTGCACGCGGAATGGGCCGGTGTTGCGGCGCTATCGTGTGTCCAACGCTGGAATGATTCTGTTCCGAGCGCCTCGGGTCTTGTCCAGGTCCCCGAGGCCTCATTTCCAGAGCAGCATCCTTCGTGCCCCGAATGCGATCCTAAGCTGCTCTCCCCATCCGCTCTGGGCTTCATTTGCCATCACAGGGATTGGGATATGTGATTTCGGTGTGTTTTTTCCTCAGAATAACGGCTGTTTTTCTTTGTGCCTCTTTTGCAGCATCCGTACCCATCCGAGGATCAGAAAAAGCAATTGGCTCAAGACACGGGATTAACCATTCTCCAAGTCAACAACTGGTGAGAATGAACTTTTTTTCACTTTCTATATATATATATATGTCTATATATATATATATATCTCCTTGTCTCCGAGACGGGAAGTTTGATCGAACGCCGTGAATAAAATATGGCCCCGTGTGGAGATAGGCGCTCGCGCGTCGGAGTGTTGTAAGTTCCCGCAGAGATCACTCGATGGGCATTCAGACACATGTCGACTCCGCGCCGCGTGTGTCACCCGAAACTCAAAAGTGAGGATGCTCAAGTGCTCGATGACGGGGATATCAGCAAAAAAGAAAAATAGAGACGGGAAAAGTTGCCGGGATCAGAGAGATTCCGAGTCCCCCCCTGCCTCAATTAGAGCAGATGAATGCCTCCGACGGCGGTCGGCACAATGCAGGCGTCATCTCTCTTTTTTTCTCGGGATTTGTTGTCAGTCAAAATCCTCCGGAGGTTTTCCCCCAAATTAACGCGTAGCATCGTGCGATCCGTAGGCAATTTCCGGCGAAAATCCCGGTCGGAAACCGCGTTTTCTTTCCTGCGAGAAAAACCCGGAAACGCGCTCGGAAGCACGTCCGGAAGGAGGGATGCGGGCGCGTAATCTGCTCATCGCGTAATGAGTGGGCCTGCAATTACTGCTTGTTGCTCATTTTGTTGGCCCGCCAAACTCAGTCAATCGCATTAAGCTCCATTGGGAGCAGAGTGTGCTGTGTGAGGAATGGTTGCACCCAACAAAGGGCTGCGACGAGGGGATTGCAGCCCCACTTGTGCAAACTTTCCCCGCGGCCGGCAAAGGGGTTGCTGCTGCAATAATCTCCGCTACAATAATGTATCTCGACCCTCTCCGTCGCGTCAGACCGGCATTGTGTGTCTGTTATTATACCTCGACTACCCCTCTTTTCGTCCAACCCGATGCCTCCGTGCACCAATTGCTCTTGATAGCTGCTCTATTGTCCATTATCCGCTTTCCAACAACTTAAGCCTTTGTTTTTCCTCCAGTTTTTTTCCTGCTCCAAAACGGCCGCGGATTTGTTTTTGCGGTTGCAGCTGCAATCGCATATGCTGGTGCCATTTTTTCCCCGTTCGCTTTTCTGCAATCAAGGACTGATCTGGTAGTTGGACTGGCCACGAGCCGCTGCATTTATTGAATTGGTAAGGAAAATAGCTGGTCAGCGAGAGAAGGGGACTTTTCGTTCCTGTCGAGGTAATTGCTGCTTCGCGTCAATCATCGGACGAGTGTGGAAGTTTGCGCATTGCTCGGCAAATAGCATACTCGTGTATGTGTTTTTTTTTCCTCTCCGCGGAATCGAAGTGCGTTTTTTTCTGTTTTGCCGGTCAAGTTATGAGTTCCTGACGCGTGGTGAGACTTTGGGCAAAGCTGGGTGTTGTCCGGTCCGGATTTTTTTTTCGGAACGCTGTTTCGAGAGGGCCCCTCGCAGTTGCGTCGTTTGTTGGATGGAATGCGAGATGAACTAGAATGCTATTTTTTTTTTCGTTGCTAGCCGTGCGAACGCAATGCATGTTTTTATTTTTGCGGGGGAAAATATGCGACACGCTACCGCGGCTGTTTTACATTTTATTCCAGGATTTTGAGCTCAAGTCGTGTTCTCGCGTCGCCCCCACCCTGCAACGTTTATTCAGCCACCCTCGGGTTGTTTTTTGTAGCTTCCCGGGGTTTCATTGTCGGGGAAGCGTCGGGCCTGTGCTTTTGAATTGATGCAGAAAAAAGTTGGTCAACCCGGCGGCATGAAATCGGTACAAAGTGCCAATAATGAATAAGATATTCCGAGTATGGCCACATGCTGGCTGCTTCAATATGATACCAACGTGGCCCCCTCGCGATGCTCTTTTCTCCTCTCGTCCTGGTTTTCTTTTGTGCTCAGGCAGGAAAAAATCTTCCCGTGCTGGGCTTTTCCTACTCTGTTGCTCAATATCTGCCCGGAATTTTCCCTTTGTCGCGTTTTGATTTTGCTTCAGGGATCTGTGAGTGGAGGGGGTGGGGTCGACGATGTCCTGTCCGTCTTCTCGGGACAGCACGTACGAAAGGACTGTTTTTGGGGGCCAAATTGAGCGAAAACGCTGAATTATGCGGGTTTGGTGCGGGTTGCGGGCGCTGGGAACGCGTGGCATTTCCAGGCGACGATGTTTTCGTGCGTTCATCGCCTTGTTATAATAATTATTTTGTTTTTCTTGATCCACGTTCGAGGCGAGCAGCGTTAAAGCCCAGCATATTTCCGTGACGAATTCACGCAATTGTCATAGATGGGAACAGCGATGCTCTCGTATGCTTAGATTACTTCCACGCTGGTGCTCCTGTGCATGGGTTTTCGACCCGTGGTACTACAACCACTGCTGGTTATGCATCCAGCAGATTTTATAGCGAGAATTTTCATGAATCTAGGCTAATCTTGCATGCATATCATCTTTCGTTCAGTGATCAGAATAGTACTGTGTGTCGAAGCTGGACAGACCATCTTTCAGCTTTGAGAGGCGCTGATGAGCACTAAGCTAGTGACTTGGTAGCTTGTTAGACAAATAAGCCCTGCATCATATCTTCATCAATACCCCACGCACCATGATCGTGGGATTGTAATAAAGAAAAAATCATCTTGAACCGCATAAGTCTCTCAATTATGGCGCGGACACCCTGTTTTCTGGCAAAAATAATGTGGATATGCGTGTGGCACCCGAGTTAAAACGTGATGAGTTCTGAGCTGTGCCACTGGTGGTCCGGGGTCATTTGAAGGCGGTTCGCGAACACTTCCCTGTTGATGAGTAACTTGTGTCTGGCTTCATTGTCAGCTTCGAAAGACGAGATTCATCCAGAAATAAGACATGCTCCGAGACGAAGATCTAAACTCTGGAGCGTCACTTGTTTGACGGACACGCGCTCCATTACTGTACCAATGAGCTGGCTGGTTCGCAGATGACTTGTGCGTCAAATCGTACCGTCATTGGCGTGAAAAGCGCGTGGCACAGCTGAGCGAGATGAGCCGAGGGTGCAGCAGCGCGTGTAGATCATCATTACGACATAAAACTCATTAAAATACACATTTCAACGCCTCAGCTGACGTTATATGGAGGACGATAACTCCACCCCATTTTCTTCCCCCCGTCTGTCGTCGGCAGTCACTTGCCCGGACGAAGGGGAAAAAATATCCTCCGGAAAAAGGATTGAAAGGGGTGCTGAAAAATGAGGAGTCATGATGACTTGGTGGAATGGATCCACGAGCAAAGTTTGTTCCTGCTTCGCGTCGGCAGCAAACGCGCCAACGTTTGAGCGCAACACTTTCCTTCCCTGCGAACGTGGCGAGTCGACGGAATATTGGATGCCTCGGACGCGATTATTGAGCACTGGACAGCATGACAGGCGAGGAAATATTGGGCTAATTTTCTACTGCTCAAGCTGTTGCAGTCGGATTTCGGATTGAATTTCCCGGGAATGTCCGTACCAGCCGTTGTTTTGTTATGATGCGGATCAAAGGGGGTCCGAGGAAGCTGTCGTCGATGCCAGTGCAGCATGCGACGACTTCCCGGTGCTGATCGATGGGGGTTAATCGCGTCGAAGACACTGGATGCCGTTTTCCTGGGGGTCAAACTCATTTGACGCAGTCCGGGCTCTCTGCGAGATCGTATGTGCATGCATTTCCGCGGAAAACAGTTTAATATGGAAATGGACGCGACGCGCAGCAGCGGGGGCCAGATGTCGGGCTTATATTCAGACGACTTTCTGATAATCGTCACCAGGTCCGGGGTCGCCTGGTTCCCGGCGATTTCCCGCGCCGAGCATCAGCTTGCCGCGGCATTATTTCATGCTTCCCCTGCATGAATTCCCGTCGCGGGATCCTTTGTTCCCCCCGCCCTGCTCTTGTTCATCTTCTCGGCCTCCGACTGTGATTTTATCGCGACCTCTCCTGCGCGATTTTTCATGCCGCGAATTTTCCGACGAATGAACACCTCGCCGTCACCTTGCGAGACTTTCTTGCGAAAAACCTCCCGATAAATGTCAGCGCTGCTCGTAATGCATCTGTTGCTCTGATTCTATCTTACGGCAGATGCGCGTCGCAATCGACTCCAGCGTTCGTAATGAACGATCCTGACGAGCAACAAACTTTTAAAACCGGAGTCGCTCGTTATCTTTACAACTATCGCTGTTTAATTGCGCTCACGTCAGTTTTTCAGGCGTCGGTACTCCCAAGTGTTGGAAGACGAAGAAATTGTTATGCTCCAGTCTCGTGATGCTCTTTTGAAACGAATTTTCATATTGTGAATTACCGATGTTGTTGGCCGCAAATGCCCACCTAGGAACTGTGCTAAAAAAAACGCTAGGTACTCCTAAGCAAATGCTTGGCTAATGCGAGGCCTATTTAAAATTAGGCCCAAACAAAGAATGTAGTTTAAATTTGTAAGAAAATCGAGCACCGTCCAGATGACAACTGGTTAGCTGTTTTTCCAGGGCCAGATAGAGTGTGAGACCCTCTCAGTGAAAAGTTACATGAATTTCCTCGTTGTGTTCAAGTACCTGTATAGACCGCATTTTCTCCCAAAAATATTGAATTGTTGGTCTGTAATTTTGAAATCTGCTATTGTTGTGAAAATTCAGAGTGCGGCCTATGCTCGCTCGCGGCCTACTACTGTTCAGATGCGATAAGAGATGAACGGATGCTGCTACGGTTGATTCTAACCAGTGCGTTTACTTGTCAACCAACTGGCAATGCCTGGTGCGTCATTGAGCATGGAGCAAAAGAGAACAGGGGAAAATATGATGAGAGGGAGAGAGACGACGGCTTTTGTTTCTTGCATAAAGAACCAGGGCACCCCCGAACGTTGCTCACATTTTTATGCCAGCCTGCGTAACAGCCGTCGTCATTTCTATATCGTTTTGATTGGCCTAATGTAATCATGACGGGAATTTTCCTTTCGTCTCCCCCTCCCGAAGTCTCGTCGGGTTATCCGTTAAAACCCCGCAAGCATTTATCCGAAGGGATCAAATCTGGCGTTGATATGTTAATTTGGCCTGATCCGCGGTTTGACTTCCGCGTTCCCTTTCTCCCCATACGTGAGGATTACGCCGGCGAGAATTGCCGTGTGAGTTATGTTTCCGTGCGCCGATCCTGTTGGCATTCATGGCAAGGTTGCATGGCGTCGTACTGGGTACGAGTCTGGCTCAGGACCGCCTTCTATTACTAGACGGTTCCTTGGTGCAATTCGGAGAGAGACTGACAGCTCCATTTGAAACCTCCTACGTATACTTTTCCGTGAATGCCGACCGAGCAAAACGAGCATCAATCCGCTTGCTCTCCACGACGCTCTATTCGAAAGGTTGACGTTAATTACCGTCGTGCTAGAAAAGCATCATGGTTATTTTAAATTATCTCTCTTAATGCCTGATCACCTTAGATACAAGCACGGATGTTTCTTGTCACTCGAACACTCCGAGTATGAAGACGTTCAACGAAGGAATAGGGGAACCACCAGAGCTAAAACCCATGACATGTTGTGATAAACCTGATGTAGAAGATTGGCTTGATGCCCTTCTAGCACAGGTCCCTGTTTTTTCTTTTTCGATGTTAATCTCAGCGTGGGTCGAAGTTTTTTTTTTCTGGTACATTCGTTCGAATTCTGGGATTTTGTTTTCATCAAGGGAGACGAGCTTATCCTTCGTTCTTGAAAGATGCGAATGCATAATCTACTTGGATATGAGCGGTCGAGATGTTGAATTCGTGCTGAAAACGGCAACGGGCTGATTTTGTCTTGAGGTACTGCTTCAAAATTTAGGTCATACGAAGATTTTACGACGTCGGACAACTGGTGTGTGAAATACAACTCATTGGATTCTTTAAAGAATTCTTGAAACAGATCTGAGTCGATTCACATTCGCCCAACCGTACGAATATTGCACTTTAATGCATTATTTGTTTGTTATCATTGCTTGAAACAGATATTTTAAACCTTTTGAATCGCAAAGCCGCATTTACCCTTACTTTATATGGCCGAGTTTCTCAGACTCACCCTTTGTCCTGCATGTTACTTTTTTCGTCCAACCTATTAACCTTTCCCAAATATATTGACCTGAACACATTTTGAGTTGCAGAAAGCGTTGTCCTTTTCCATAATCGTTGCAGGGATAGCCTTCTGGGTATTTAATTGAGTTTTACAGTAACTTATGCCATTTTCTCGGCAGCCGCCGAAACCCTTGGGAAGTGCAGGTGGAGGTTTTCGGGTTCTGCGAATCACTGACTCAGAATAATCAATGTTGCCCTATCTTTTCGTTTCTGCGAATTCCGAACATCGTTTAGCAAATGCTGGACGGAGGAATATGGCTCAAATCATACTGTTACAATGAAGTGGAAAAGTTCCCAGCAGACTGAAGACCGACCAAAAATATCCGACCTAGAGATTAGAAACACTGGCGTTTTATAATTATACAGTACAAGCCAAGTCAAAAATTGTACTTAGGAATAAAAGCTTATCTGAATTCTCATTTAAGGATATGCTACGACAAATCCGAGGATCCACAAGCGTAGTTGATTTGTTTTTTTCTGTTTTGAAGCAATCATTTCGAGTAAGTCGTAGAAGGCATCATGGATGATGAGAATGCGTTATTAGACCGAGGGCGAGCGGAGACGGGAATAAATCACTGGCCGTGGGGCCATCAAATCCCGCGATTGTCATTTTTTAGGCGCGTTCTCGGCAGACGTAATTCATGTCGGGAGGGCGAAGTTGCTCTTCTTGCGCTGCGAAGATGCAGAGGATAAATGCGCGTGATCAATGGAATAGATTTTCATCTTGTGTGCCCAGCGAGAACGGATCTCGTGACAGCAAAGAGGGGAAGGACGAGAGTTGGCAAATATCGCCTTCCCCTGCCTGCTTCCCGAGCCATCGCGTTAATTGCAAAGTCGATGTCGCCGAGGAAAATCTCAGGTTCTGCGCGGAACGAGGGGAAAATGGCTCACCAAAAGATAATTGACTACGATAAAACTCCGATCGATCAATTCGGCGCTGACTTCCTACGCGGCGCGCGAAAGAAAGATAATTTTCCGTCAGTCCGGACGTTTAATTAACGCTTTCTCGTCTTCTCCTTTCTGTTGCAGGTTCATCAACGCACGGAGGCGAATCGTTCAACCCATGATCGACCAGTCCAACAGAGCAGGTGAGAATTCTATCTATATTCTTTTCTCTTTTTTTTTTTTTTTTTGCTCTCCCGCGGATTTCTACCCCGGTGACGTTCGTTTCCCCCGCTGACGAACTTATTTTCATTACGGCGTCGCGAAATGCTCCTCGCGGGACTCATCCCATTCGCGCGATGTCCGGTGCTCCAGAAAACGTGACTCGTGTCGGGTTCTCACTCCTGGGGCTGTTCGACCGGTCTGCCCGGGCCTTGAGAACGGTAAATCTCAGACAGCCTGGCAACCGTGTCTTGGACGAGAGCAACAGCGAAGCGGAGGGACGGGAGAATGCTGAAAATGAGGGCGAGGAGCAGTGAATCGGTACGGCGCGGATGCGATACGGCAACAGACAAGGGGAGTCAATAGGAAAGGCCTCTTTTGGCCTGATGGGTTTTCAGCCCGAGTCTCATTAATCACCTCTGACAGCGACTGAAATGCTTTTTCCAGAAGTCCTCCCCTCATCCTCTCATCTTTCTTCCTGTGAACCTCTCCGTCTCTCCATCTCCCCGACCGGCTTCCGTCGTGTGCAGTATCCGGCATGCACCCTCCAGTTCTGCTGTTCAATTATTCTCCCTCGTGGACGGGAGTGAAATTTTGCGTGCGAATCCGCGGACAGCGGTGCGGACAGGGATCCCATGGTTTTATTGGCTTTGGGGGGAGTCCTCGAAATCGCTCGGTTAAAATTTCATCTGCATGCACGTCCGGTCTCCGAGGATCCTTCCCGATTTCGCCGGTCTCATGGGCTCTTGTAAACCGGGGGAGTTTGGTTTCGGGAACCTAGAAAAAAAAAAAAAAAAAGAGCCGTAGACGAGCTGTCCGGAACTCAGCGGGACGCCGTGGTCAATTCTCCGCCATATCTTCCCCCATGTTTCATTCTCGCGACAATTTATTCCGCGCTCGATTGCTCAATTTTTGTGTATTTTTCTCTCCGCACCAATCCGCTTAATCCTTGCGAAAAGCGTAGCGAAACCCGAACGCCCGTGTTTCACCGCTGCCCGCGATAGTGGGAAGAAAGCCTGGAGAAGGCTTCGGCGGGCACCAGGGTGATGGATGGACCCGGAATGGGTCATTTGGGGGTTTTTCCTTCTAGCGCCACGCGGTTCTCCGGAGATATTTGGTACGTTCAACCCCTTGGGTATCGCTTCCGCGCCGGAGATAGTTCCGTGGTCTCTCGCCGCAATTTTGCCCCGCGGGAGCCGCGTGACCGACACAATGCGAGTCCAGTCCGCAATGTAATAATATTTTTGTGTTCCCTTTGATCGACAGGTTTCCCCGCTGGTGCTAGCGGCTATAGTCCAGACGGTTCCGGCATGGGATACATGATGGACGGGCAGCAGCAGATGCTCAGATCAGGTAAAATTGATTTTTTTCTTCCCGCGTTCCCAATTTCCTGTTCTCCACACGCTGTGTCTAAAAAAAGAGAGAGGGGAAAAATGCATCACTGTAGAAATCCTAGCTGTGTATTAACGGATTTCCACTGAGGCGAGAACTCCATTCGAACAATCATCGACGCCGTGATACGCTCGGAAATGAAGCCGAGGTGCGCAGTTTGTTTCCTCGCTCCTCCATGGAAGTGTTCCCCATTATACAGACGTCCGAACGGAATTATCTCGTTCTTCGGTGGTAATTTTCGAGATTATGAATGTTCTTCTGTCATCACACCAGTCGAACTAATAACTGCTGCCGAGCTTGCAATCATTCACTTGTCAGCTCGGATTAAAAACAAAAACAAAAAAACGGGGCTTGCACTCTGCTTCTTTTTGTAAAACATGCTGGGCCTTTCTGTTGAACTCGAACGGATGCGAGGAAAGCTTCCTTTATGCGTCGTCGTTCTTGGGAATGGAAGGGTTGTCACCCACAGTTGGTGTCGATCATACAGAAAGGTGCAAATCTTGTTCGTAGGCTCTATTAAAATGCTTATTTCAGCAGACATGATGATGGCTGGCTGTATCTCGAAATTATCTAGAAATAGTAATGGCGAATAGCAACACGAGTCTTGATACTGTATATGCATCACGGATGAGAAGACGGAAAAACATGACGTGTAATTGCGTCGACAGCGGCAATCTTTGAAAATTTCTGCCCTAGAAATAGAGATATTTTTGAATTTACGATTTTCCTCCCGATGCAGACGAGTTGTGTGAAGTGCAAATTAATGCAGATCAGATGAGTTCTAAAACGATGTCTGTCAGGTAATTGTCAGGTTTTGAAGTACAGTGACACCCCCAGACGGGGACGTAATTGGTGCATCAAGAGTGTCCCCAAGTCGAAGTGTCCCTAAGTCGAGTCTCTTTTTCCCTTAGACTCACATATAATTTTTAATTGGTGTTTTATGTACAAAATACTCACCATAATTCCATGAAAATAAAAATATCTCCCAATTTAAACTGATTCCAATCAATATACAATATGTTGTATATTTAATCGTCTTGACCCTCGACAACAGATCATTTGGGTGCTTTTTTACGCAACCGCTGAACTACATAATAAGAAGTTTGCCTGTAGACCGGCCGGAAGTCATTGCGGATCTGCGCCAGTTTATTCATGTTGCTGTACTGAGGAAACGTGCATTAAAATCGCGATTGAGCTTTTATCACGAGTTATTATGTAGATCCTGAACGGTCAAAATCAAATGATTAACCCCAGGGCTGAGTACCGTATTTATTCGAATATGAAGGTTTTTTAAATTTTAAAAATCAGGATGCCTCGCAGAAACCAATTGGTTCGGTTTCTGCACTTCGAATACGAAGGTTTTTTAATTTGAAAAATCAGGATGCCACAAATGAAATATTCCAGCTAAGGTTGTGGCCAAGGGTCTCTCATTCGAATGTTGAATATTATGCTTTTTTTCTCCAGGGATTTAAATTATTTGAAAACAACTGACAATTAGAAGTGCGAATTTGATGAAGCATCCAACGAAATTCTTGTTTGATTAGTTTCAATTCCCGACGTGACGGGGCACTTCTTATCGTAATTTGCCTGCAATGTTTATTTCACTTCAAAGAAAATTATAGCAAGGCTTTACTTGCGGCGAGGCTGTGTAAGTCGTTCTTTTTTTCTTCTTCAGACATTTTTTTGTCATTGAATACGTTTTGCAAATTGTATATACCCCCTAATACAATAGAGTCCGGCGTAATGCGAAGAAAGCGAAAATCTGTGCGTCATTGATTCGCCAGTAAACTTGTTTTTTATTTTGATAAGCTGATAGATTGAGAAAACGTTGTAATTCTTCAATTTGAACGCTGTTGGGATCTCCTGTAGGATTCCATTTTCGGCATGATGAACGAAGGGAGAGTCTGTGCTTCGTTGATTCGCTAGCAAACTTCATTTTCAGTTGAAGAGACTGAAGAATTTTGTTTTTCAAATTCCGGGGGGGATACATGGTGGCGATGATAGCGGGTACATATGAGAGGGTTTCGAACAGGGCGTCCAGCAGCAGAGACGGACAGTGCGTTTGGGGCTTTAATGCTTGCTTGTTGCGGTACTGCGGGGACGGAGGCGGACGAGTTCCGCGGTTTGCTTCCCGGCCCGTGGTTGTGTACCGGGCCCAGGTAAGTAGAGGCTTCGTGATCGCTGCGGCATCGAGCGAGTCAGTGTTATTGGTGTTCTTGCGCCCCTCTCGCTCTGGAAACGTAGCCGGCAATTATGGAGCCCCGTGACTGTTATTCCGCGGGAAATTACCCCCGGCCGAATCGCTGCTTGGGATTTTTCTCGGCCATCACGCACCTATGGAAGCCGCACGGTAGTCGATTGTCCGCATCCACTGACATCATTAGGCATCCCTCCCCGCGCGCGAACTCTGCCATTGGCTTCCCGCGACTCACGGCGGAAATCCGCTTTTAATTCACGCTACTACTTTGTTTTCCATGTTCACACTGCGTTTCCACCCTCCAAACAGCCTTTAGCTTTCTGTTGCATCGTTTTTTTTTTTTTCCCCGTGCTCGCAGACGAAAGATTTCATTCCGATCGTACATTACTGTAATCAACACAAAAAAAAACGACACTGAAGAGTGATTAGGTAAGACACGTTTACATTTTGATATCTTGTCATTACCGTATTTCAGTCGCATGAAGGAGTTGCAGGTTCGTCTTTTAAAAGGATTATTGAAATAGGAATGTTACCCTGGACAATGAACGCCTACACACTATGTACTCGAGCTGCCGCCTATCTTATACAATACAGTATTCCGAAAGCGAACACTCCTTCGAATAATGCAACGTCGCTAAATCTACGACCTCCGAGAAAATCTAGATTTATGTGTAAAATTTGCCAATATCATTTTCGAAATGGATGAACGCTTTTCATGTGATTGCGGAAAATCATCGTGGAATGGACAAGCCCATCCCAAATTATGAGCATCCCATTACTGTATTCACTGTAGGGACTTTTAGGTCGGGTTTGAAAGTACTGGAACCAGTAAGACTATTCACTCACTTGAAAGATTTTTCCAAGGATGGACTTAACGCTGGAAGATAATCGAGGTACCACTGCACGGCTTTTGAAATGCTGTGAATATGAGCCGCATTTGTGTATGGCGCGCTGACTTCGGCCTAAACCTCACGGGATAATCTTAATATGGTCATAAATTAGACTTGGGTTCTGTATCTCAAATGTAGGTTGGAAGGCTTTCTGCATCAGCGTGGTTAAATTGTGTAGATGTGCGTTTTCCTCGCACGAGAATCCGACTCCGTATTTTTATATGCTTATGCATCAAGAAAAGTTGGGAAAACGCGCGTTAATCAAAATATAGAACTGTGGTTTCGTATTCGCTCGTGGGCGCACGATGGAATCGTCGATTCGGAGGCAACACCCCCGCAAATGTTTGGGAAATTTAGACCACCATTTTTAATGATCATTGTAAAGAGTTCATCGCCTCGAGAATTTCTGGAGTTTCTCGATTCGGAAGTTCCTTGCCAGGCTGAAAAAAAAAAGTTGATCGATGATTCTACAGAAATCAAACCCCCAAATATGTACTATGTATAATATGTACCGAATATGTATGTATGTATGTATGTATATGGTACTCGTTTATAATTCGTTTTTGATTAATGCAAAGCCGCGTTTCGATTTTTTCTTTGATATTCATTATATTAACTGAGACCCGGATGCGGCCTATACGAGAATATCTCGCGTGTAGGCCGCGGCTTTGGTGAGATAGTATTTTTCTGTGGTTTATACAGGCGTAAATACGGTGTTCAGGTGAGAGGATAAATGTTGTGATCAAGGCGCAACGACTTGACTCCTCCGTCCTACAGCTTCTTGTTCTGATTCATTTTGCGCGATGACGACGAAGGCAAGTGTGTGAACGTCACGTGACCCGCGTTTTTCTCTTGATCTCGTTGCAGGCTACCCGTACGTGTCGGGCGGGATGGGCGGCTTTGGCGGCGCCGATCCGCGATCGATGGGGATGGGAGGAGCGTACAGTCCGCACCAAATGTCGCCAATGCAATACGGGATGATGATGGGCGCCTCACCGATGCACCCGTTCCCGGGCACTCCGTCGTCCTACGACAGTTCCATGAACATCCACGCCGGCTAAGGAGGCAGGAAGGATTCCTTATGTGAAAAGCACGCGGCTCCCCGCTGGAAAACGTGAAGGAGCCGCGTGTCCTTGCGCTTTTAGTTGAAATACACATGTTTTTCTCTCGTGCGACTGAGATCCAGGACGGAATTCCCCGCGACGGGACAAACGCGTGCCTGTTGCAGGCCGCGATTCTTCGGAGGAAATAATCAAGCTGCTTAATGTGGACGTTAATTTATTTGAGCGATGTTTGAGACTCGGAAGAACTTGCGCAGGATTCCCGGCGGTCGACACGACGGAAGAGCTTACATTTTTGTGCTTTGATTGTTCGTGTTTTATTTTCTGTGTATTTTGGAAATTAAGTTCCGTTGTTTTGCTTGGTCTTTCGATTTTACGAGGCGACCCCGGACCCGATGTGAAGAACGCTACATTTCCCGCGAATCCCCGTTGGATGTACATGAAAAGCATTGATTGTAATTGTAGACTTTTATAACACGGACGTGGGAATTCGCGTGGGGAGGCGACGGATAAAGGAATAATAATCTTAACCGTTGAGTAGATCAGAATTATCTGAGGAACATTTGTCAGTGTCCGCAACGGTTCTTATTGATGTAAATATCCTGTTGTTTGCCAGTAGCTTCTCAAGACCGAGGATTAAATAGAGAATGTTACATTTATTTCCGTTTGGTGTCTATTTCATTTTTTTACCCGAAGAAACTAGGAGCTTTCGCTGAGCAGATGTGCATGCGAAGACACGTCACACAGATGCTGGCCCGATACGATACCGCCTGGATAGGACTTCGGTGAGCATTTTTTCAAGATAAAGCTGATCAATGCACTGATCTCAATGCAGTACAGTGCTGTACTTATCAAACCTTGAACGGACAATCTCTTGAATGATTCAGTTTTCAGATTGAGACGTGCGAATTGGGGAAAATACCCTGTATGTAGAAAAATGGCTAGGAAAAATCAGGGTGCATCTTACAGCCCACGGTGCCTTTATTAGCCATAATTTCTCGACAAAAATACATGAAGACAATGAAGGACATTTCACTGAGATGAATGAAACTACAGTATTCAAGATTAGCCTTCGCAGTATTGTATTCACGGCTGGTCATCTACGACAATGCCATGAAGAGTTCAGTAATTCGAAGACAAATGCCCAATTTTAAATGACTTAATCCTGATGGAAAAATCGGAAGATACTATCCCGACTGGTACGACACACAAGCAACTGGGACTAAACTTTAATTGCATACAATATTAAGCAGTTGAAGTTCGCTCAGATAGTCATGGGAATTATAATTACCTGCATTCAAATATTTTCCAGGCTCAGATGAGCCATCAAAGGCTGTTGGGAATTCATCAATCCTGTAAATAAGCGTGAAAAAAAGTTCGTCTCAGATTTGTGAACAGATTTTATGTTTGAGTTTAATCAGGAAATAACATTTTATAGTAGTGTATAAGCGATAATATCCTCATTCTTCGTCTTCTTTTAGTAGAGTACTGTAAAGTAAATAAGGTAAGTCGTCAAGTTTCAGCTACGAACTCTCTCCGTTTCACCACCGCGACAGCAAAAAAGCGCATCATTTATGCTGTTCATTCGGCTAAAATCGACTGGAATACGGCTTTGTTTTGAGAAAAATTGGCATAGCCTCGCAGGATTATGCTGAAGAATGCCTCGGCGATTGACACCTGGCATAGATTCATGCTTCATTGAATTGCAGCTTCACTCGACGTCAGGTAGTTGCCGGGGATCCACGGAGCTACGTGACGCTTTGTGTTGCGAGCGACACCTGGTAAGAAAGTTATGCATGCAGTTCACGAGTTTTCATCAGAGGCTCTAGAGAGGTTTTATACGTAATACAGTATCTTGAATGCTTATAAGCGCGGAAGGGGTTAATCGTTCACGCGCTAGCCTAGACGTGAGTTCATATATGTCGGCCCAACGTCTCGGGTACAATCCTGCTCAGTGCGTCAGCCAACGTCCTTTCCAACCTGCCACAGGAACCCGGCAGGTAATCGGGCTGAAAAACCGCAAGAAATATCTTCGGGGGAAAGTCAACCTCGGGAAAATTTTCACAGAAGAAAAGCAGCGAGAACAAGTTCAAAAACACAACTTTCTCTCCTTCTCTCACACACGCAAGAAACTGTCCAAACATCTTTCTACAATAAAGTTAGATTATTCTGACGAGCATTTAAGCGTCAGCGAATGAAAGATTCGAGCAATGAACAAGTAATGACAAATCATTCATCAGAAAACAAGAAAGAAAGCAAAAAAAAAAACAACAACAGTAGAACGTTCACAACAGACGAGAACAAATACAAACCTTACTCGAGTTGAACAGAAAAAAAGTCTCTCACGTCAAGTCTACTATTCTGCTGCAATGAGCTTCTACGCCCGAACGCGATAACACTATACGACCAACACGCACGTAGAAACCGTCCTGAACCACTCCCGGTCATCTCTGAAGTCCAGGCCAGAAAGAAACGCCTCACAAGCTATAAGATGAATTGAGCGAAACAGACTCAAACGTCGGAGCCGCGGGCGAAGTCCTAAAAGCTGACACACGGGAATTAAAAAAAAAAAAAAAAAAGAATCGTGCGTTTTGCATTCAATGCTGCCCTTGCCAACTGAACACCGAATCAATTTTCACGTACAAAAATAAAATAAAACTTGCTGAAGACCGGGCGTGCCGATCCATGGCGCACAAATCAAACTAAAATATTCCAGGAATAAAACTTCTCTTCCTCATCATCACGAAGACGCAAACGCATTTTTAGGGTAATCTCTCTGCGGATATTCTTGGTCGAATTCGAGAAACTGGGATTATTTTTTCCTTCAATATAATTCTGATTTTTCTTGGTCAGATGGCCCTTCGAACAAGCGTTTCTATAGCATGTCGACGGGAATAAAAAACAATGGTTTTTCATTTTGAAATGATCCAGGAACACACTTGGAAAGGATATATTTTTTGCCGCTGCTAGCTTCCCAGAAATGCCATGTCAGCAGCTTCTTCAACGAATGATCTAGGTGTGCCATTCCTTCAAGGGTATCAAGAACCCGCCCCCTTCCCCAGAAATAGGTTACCCCGACATTTAAAAATGGATGCGCGTCACAGCCAGTAAATATCTTGTCAGCAGTTCCAAGAGTGGACTGTCGTTGAAGGACCAGAAAGAAGGAATGCGATATGATGCGCAGGTCAAGAAACTCAGCTTTCTTCCATTCAAAAAAAATCAAATAACGAAACGGAAACGAAATGTTTTCCCACAGCGTTATTCGCTGACTAATACTGGGAAATCTTATTACTGCATGAGTCCTGCGGAGACGAGACTGTCCCGACGCAGTTCACAGCCAAATGAACAAAAACCGATTTCCCTGGGTGCCAGAAAAGGGATTACACAATTCAAAACCGCATCTCTCATGAACCCTTTCGGCAAAATGAAACCACAACTGAGTCCTGCAAGTAGGGGCAACGTTAAGAAGAAGATGGAAAGCATTAAAACCCATCCACTAACAATATTAATTGGTAAACAAAAATGCCCCTAACGTGATCGACACCGTTGTGCCATGGCAGAAAGAATCTTGGAGGCTCTTGGTTTCGTGGCACGCAAACATCCCCGACTTTGCTTCCGGGAATCCCTTCATTCGATCATTCTTCTTTCTTCACAGTAGATACTTCCAGCATTTCCACCGAATTTCAAATCAATCTTCGTCGCCAAAACGAGAAAGGAAATGTAGCGCGACTAGGCGGTGCTTATGACAAATTCAACAGTATCGAAGGAACAAAAAAGCTGAATTGAAACTTCTCCCACTCACAGGCATCTTCGCGCTCTACTCATCGAGTTGTTGGGCAAATTGTGTCATCGGCGAAGTTCTCCATCTTGGCCCCGATCACGATTGCTAAGAGCCAGTCAAACATCTTCATGCACCCGTTCGATAAAACTCCCAGAAACGTATAACGACTCGCAATCTCCTATTTTGAACGAAAGCATGCAATCACAAAAATTCACACAATCTCGCTCGACGACCGCATCCCGAAAATGTGCGTAGGGTCGTATCGGCGGGTTAGAAATCGGCGAACTCCTTTGCACACTTCTCCGTTGACGAGATCCTCAAGGGCTCTTCGTCATAGTCGTCGAAGTTGCTGGCGTCACCAGGACCCGAGCATGGAGGTGTGTATGGAACTTCCACCTGTCCACCAAGTACACAAATTCTCATGATTTGCAAACTTGCTCAGTCTGAATTTAAAGGACAAACACCGTCAAAGGAAACGACCGTAATTAGCAAACGTGAAATGCTATTCGATGACGTAAACAATTGCCGGATTCAGTGAAATCTATTCTGGAATCCTTTTCATGTGCACATAATTGGCCGAAGGTTGCATCATAATTCGTGCAGTGTAATGATTTATGCACTTCTCGACCTATGAACTCATTACTATTGCAAGAATTTATGAACGTGTATTTATGAAATCTACGTAGAAGGAAACTGGGACAATATGAAGAGGCGGTAAAATACTAGCGTAATACCAAGCATATAATGTCTGAAAAATAGGAGAGAGAATAGTTACGGCCTGTTCCGGGCAAATCCAACAGTGATTAATTCCATCGACCCCACACAAAACCAAGAGTCAAAATCACTTTCCTGAAGATGTAACTCTTTGTTTTCATTATCTCTCAGTTTAATGCACAATAATCCTTGTCCCGAGGGAGGCCACAAATTTCCTTCCATTGTCTCTTAATCAAGTCAGGAATTTTTTTTTCGTTCTGATGATTCCAGTACTTTTCCCTTCCCGATTTCCTTTGACATCGATTTCATACGTTTGTGTTCTTAACTCTCCAAAATACAGTATATACGATACTAACTTTGTGTGCCTCGGATAACGCGAGAAGTAACCAATAGTAAGGTACCTGTACTCGGAAAATATTAAAATTAAATAGTTGCAGAGAAATTAGAAAATAGATTCTTGATATTTTCGGCATTATGTTACAGCAGCAAATGAGAGGTCGAAAACACACGATGACTCAACTTAAGTCGTCTATTCGGCGGAAACAAGCTGATCACTGTTTCATCATTTAGTCTCTAGATGGCAATACCTTCCCCTTTGCTTTAACGGTCACACCATAGATGACGCAAGTTTATGAAAAAAAGAAGGGGGACAGAATTTAGGAAACCGAGAAATCGGCGTCGCTTGAGCGGAAAACCCGCCACCTGAGCAGCGTTCTGCGAAGTTCGATTTATGGTCTGCCTCGTATCTAATCTTAACACTTGAGTTTGGAATGCATCCGGAAGAAAACTAGGAGAGAGAACCCGATTAGCGTTTCGATCCCGGGACTGACGAGATGTCATGCACTGACTAAACAACGCCACGAGACAGGAGTGATGCAAGCGAGAAGCAGAATCCCAACTACACCACCACCGGGATTTCGGTACGAACGGAATACACACGAACCCTGGAGCAAGCAAATCGTCCTCCCGGAGTGCGTTGTCGATGACAAAACGATTATGCAGAGCGAAACGAAAATCGACACTAATCGCATGCAGTTTCTTGGATGAATGATGAGCTAGAGAGACGAGGTGTGTGGGAGACGTGCGAGACCTTCAGAAATCGCGGAACTCGTGCTCGAATAGGTTCGTCGAAGATATATCGAATATATCTTCTCTTTCTTCGTATCGCTGGAAGTGCATCGTGTCGCCCGGTTCTCTGATTTTGGGCTTCAACGGTGCAAGAGCCTGCAAGACATCGTCGAGTTTTCAGGTTAACAAGCGCGTCAAACCACGGTTCCGTCGCCGACCAGCTCAGCTCCCAGTTGTTTGACCTGCTTCGCTTTTTAATCTCGAGCTTAAACAAGTCGTGAGACAGCTCGTGCGTTCGCTACAGATTCTAAGTGCGTTAATCAAAGCGTGCAATTCATACCGGACGGTGAATTTTAGTAAGATATAGCATAAGTTGACTCATCACCTTGCGCTCGTAAATAGCGAACCAGTCTGTCGTTGAAAACCACTTGTGACCACGGATGTCGTCTACTCCATTCCTCAAATTTCCAAAGCGTTTAGTCAAATCAACTTGAAGCAAGTTCTTGAGCAGATCTCGCAAATCTGCCGAGAAGTTCTTGGGGTAATTCACCTGAAAATCAAACATGAAAATTGAAATTATTCCTCAATGATTTTGAACAATATTGAGCAAATCTCTTGAAGGACAACTTCTTGGCTCTGGTAAGGAAGTAGACTCAGAGATTCTTGAACTTTTTAACTCGAGGAGCTTTTCTTAAAATATTTTACTTGTATACCACGCTGCTCATTTTGGAATAGTTTATACGGCGGAGCTCCTTGGGACTGTCAGATGTCTTGAAAAACGTTCTTTCCCTTTCAGCTTTTATTGGCTTAATTTCCAGTCACTAATATTCCAGTTTTCTCTCAGCATTTCCGCACCCTATTCTTCATATTACGTTTCAAACGTAATAAAGATTTTGATATTACGCTTTGAACAACTTTTCAGTCCTAAGTCTTATATTCCCTGGAAAAACTGAGGATCCCTTGGGAAGAGCACGTGGAACCCTTAGGGCCCGCAGTGCACAGGTTGAAACCCTCCTGCAATGAACGATATTCCTGGCTTGCATTCTCGCATCTGATGCTTGAATCTTTCATGTTACAGTCTGACGAATTCGCATGATGGTCAACTAAAACTACTCTGCGTGTATAAAACTAGAATGCCAAACTGGGTTGCGTTACCTTCCCAGATACGATTTTCTCGTAAATCTGGATCGGGTTTTCGGCGAAAAACGGCGGAAAGCCTGCGGCCATTTCAAAGACCAATACGCCCAGTGCCCACCAATCCACAGCCTTGTTGTATCCCTGTCATTTGGAAGTACAGACATTTTTTGGTTCAAGAGTCGATCAGAATTTGCGGAATGATGACGATTACCTTGCTCAGGATTATTTCCGGCGCGAGGTATTCAGGGGTCCCACACAGTGTCCATGTCCTTCCCTTGACACGCTTAGCGAACCCGAAATCCGTAACCTGAGATTAGATAAGATCGTCAGTTCAGTGATGATTAATTAATTTCGAAGTCACTCTAACATTCCTCTCAATTGAGAATCCCTGTTCCAATTGGAACATAACAACAACAAAACTTGTGATGCAAATGCAAAACTTGAAGATGAACAATTTTCGATCAGTGAAAGAGGGCAAGGAAAAAACACCGATCATGAATCACAGTACTCCTGCGAGAAATTAATCCTAGCAATGACTAATTGAAATTCAAACGAAGTACTGTATTGTTCTGGAACTCTTTCGTTGACGAAACAGTAAGAATGAGGGACTTCTATCGGCACTTTTTTCATGAAAGCTCTTTGAGAGTGCAATATGAAAAGATTAAATTGAATAAAGCCTTACCTTCAGGAAACCCTTTTCATCTATAAGCAGATTTTCCGGCTTGAGATCCCGATAAATGATGTCCAAATAATGGAGGTATTGAAAGGCAAGGACAATTTGAGCCGCATAGAACCTGGAGTGAGGCTCACTAAAATGAAAGGAATATCATTATTTCATAAGCTTTCCGAATTTTGATCAATGAGAACGTTACGTGAATTTTCCGATCTTCCGCAGATGAGAAAACATCTCTCCTCCGGGGACGTACTCAAGCACCATATAAAGATTTGAGTTATCCTGAAAAAGGGAAAGGACAAATAAGTGACGCTCAAGCATAAAATGGGTTTCGAACTGAAAGTTTACTTTGAAGTGGAACTCAAGGTTGACTAAGAACGGAAACTTGATGGCTTGCAGAATGCGCTTTTCGTTCAACGTGTGCTCCACCTGCTTCAACTTCACCACCTGTCAAGACGAATGATTAAAGTAAACATAATTACCAGTTGCCAAATACAGACGGTATTTTCGAAAGAGACAAATATTAAGCACCTTCTGCTTGTCCAATATCTTCATAGCGTAAAACTGTTTTGTTTGTTTGTGCTGCACCAACATCACACGCCCGAAAGACCCAGTGCCGAGTGTCTTCTTCCGATCGAAATCGTCCAAAGTAGCATTGCTCTGTGAAAGTTTTGAGGAATTGTTTCGATCATGACATCATTCATTAAATTTTCTGTCAAACGGGTCACAAGTGAAATTAAGCAGTAGGAGTGTGTGTAGCCTCTTTCACTCAAGTCTAGTTCAATGTTGCTAGATCTCGGTTTACTTTTTTTCCGTGCAATTCAAGACCACGAATCTCGACGTCAGAAAATTCTTGCAATAAAGTCTCTTCACTTACCGCATCCGGTTTCTTCCATTTTTCTTCGAAGTCCTTTCTGGAATCGTCAAAAATGGCTTTAACTGGAGAAAAGACAGACCCGACGCAGGATTAGATACTGCACGTGCATCGCAAGAAAAAATGTTCTATCCCAGAATCTTATCAAACCTTTCATGAAGTCCTCTTAACCAGAAAGAGCCAAGAATCAAACCTATGCGAAGAATCCCGCAAGTAGCTTTAAAACCCGCCGAGGCACTCAACGATAGCTGGCATGACGCAGCAATCTTTCTTGTTCTTTTACCGCATGATATTGGTTATTCAGGATTTCATCACTTACACAAACGGCTCTCAAGAAGCTTAGCAACAGCCCTAATCTCCTTTAAATCGCTGTCTCTCAACAACCAAAATTCGGTCGATGCATATGATTGATGAAGATTATTTTCCGATACTTAATTTATGCTCGAATGTATGATCATAACAAACATTGCGTCGCTAACAGAAGTGCAGCTCTATTTTCATCACAAGTTTACATCCTTGGATATATCGCGGCCTATACTGCCGCAATAAAATCAGGAAAAATGTTTTTCTTTTAATATCTTCGATACACGTGTGTGAGGCAATTGGGGCGCGGCCGACACTCGAGATACTGTATTTGAGTATCGGCCGCCCGCCGAGTTTCTGAAAAATGTTCGCCATACCATCAATGAGTAGGTACGAGGTGGGTTTGTTGGTTAAGAAAGTAAATGTTCATTGGGATCATTGCCAAGTCCTGGAGAGATTGCGCACTGAGCACCAATTTTTGGGGAAAAACGTTTGCAAAGGAACTCGTGTCGACACTCTTTTCCCGAAAAATAGTAAATGCTATAAAAATTGGGTCCAACGAAAGCCCTCGATTTTATTAATATTTTTAACGCGGGCTCGGCTATTCTTGTGAGCTTTTACCTAATATCAACCAGGCGCTGATGGGTTCGGCGGAGAAACGAAGGCTTCGGAGAGCATGTGAAAGCGGGAGGAACCATAAAAGTTCCTCGGAGCGTGGGCAACACTAGGTGAACCATTTCTGACTACAAAAGGCCCTCCTCGAAATTCATTTTCTAGAGACATTACCAAACGAGACGAACTAGAAAACAAAATTGACGACGGTCATCAGTCGACGGGCGGAGCCCGACGAGCGTCAACAGTCCAAATTAATAATGCTGGACCTCAATGGACATGTGTTGAAAAAATTCGACCGAATTTCTCAACGCACCGGGTTCCAGTCATGATTCACACTACCGTAAAACATTTCACGCCCAGGAGTTCATCCGAGGCGAGACAAGAAAACATTCGCATTAATTCCAGCATAATCGTGCTTCAACATATTCATGGGACTCATTTCCAGTCGAGCGTCTCCGATTCCCACGCTCGCCGTGTTCCCTAATTGATCACCATTTATCTCGGGTCGGGGTTACGCGAGAGGGTGATGTACAGTATGATGTATGTACAGTATTTATGCATATTTATACATAGAGAAAAGGAGAAAGAGAGGGAGAGGGGAAAGGGAGGGAGTGAGGGGCAGAGAGTTGGACGGAGTAGGAGGAACGTGTCGGGTCTTACGTCGCAAGAGGCAGGCGAAGGCGGTGACCTGGGTTGGCAGTTCGAGCACTTGGTTTAATTGACGCGCGACCTCTCCGATAATGCCGAGGACCATTTCCGTCATGTCGATCACTGCCACTGAGCACGCATTGTGTCGTTTGGTTTCATCCGAGCCGAGCTGCGGAGAAGCGAGAAGTGAGCGAGGCGCGGGATTGCGGCGTCACGAGCCCGGAGCGGCGCGATGACCGTGCCGACGAATTCACTGCCGGCGACATTCGATACTCGAGATGGGCGTTCCGCGCGATCTGGTGCTCAACGAATCAACCCATGCATCTTTCCTGTCCGATCGAACCCGAATCGACCACGGATTTATTTTTTGGCCCCCGGACCCGGAGGTCATTCCAGCTGTCAATGAAGGAGCATTATTTTAGCAGTTGAAGCACGGAACAAGGTCGATGTTTTTTTCTTTCAAGCAAGCTGTGGAAACTTCAACTCCTCGACTTTTTTGGCGACTCCGGGAGCCTCTTCTAGGAACTATTCCTACGGCGGATCCCCGTCGGAAATTTTTTAGGAGCTTCACAGTCCCGAGATCATTTTTGCAACAATTGGGAAAATACAATATAATTTCTGCAAGCGAGATCCGAAAAACTGCCGATTTTTCCTTTGTGAATAAAGGTGTGAACACTTAGCTCCTCGACTCTTTTTTTTTTTTAACTCTCGGAGCCTTTCTTAGCAACTAGAATGAAGGTCATCCTTGCAGCCAATTGAGTGTTTTTGCGGTCAACAGATGTAAATGTCGTAACTCTCCCTCGTAGAAAAATGTACATCAAAGGTTCTCAACTTTTTTTTTTTTTTTATTCGAGAAGACCTTCTACAGCGGATCCCCTCCAACAAATTAGGTTCTCTCTCGTCTGCACACTCTGGCCTTTATGACTCGTGCAGCACTCTTTTAAAATAATTACAACGGTGGAGTCTTTTAGACAAATTATTCTTTGAGGCTGTGCATTTGGTGACCAAAAAAACAGCAGGTCTAATATAATTTGTTACCCGAATGAACGAGCTTACTATATGAGAGCTTTCCGACATTTTTGCGGACTGTAACGACGTTCCCGATGCGCTTTTTCAAGAAACACCTCATGGGCGACCTTGGTTTCGGGGTTTCAACTCCAAATTCAGCCATGACCTGAACTTCAGTTAAAAGCATATTACAAATACAGTATGTACGTAACTATGTATTTAAACTCCAATGTTTTATGGATCGAAGGAATCAGTCACCCAATTTCATCCCTATACTGTGGACTCTGTGGTTGATTTCAACTCATCTCATGTCACACGTTCAACGCTCAACACCGTGCGTTTTTTGTTGTTGTCATGGATGTTTCTGCATTCCACCCGGTAATGCTCAAAATAGCACCAGTGAAATGCCTAGGAACATTTGAAAATTCCTGTACAATAATGGACTGTCTTGCATATGGATGTCACTAAGAGCGATTTATCACGTCTAATTCACATGTCTTCCCATTCTAAAATCATTAATAGACGAACGTTTTGCTTCTCATTCTAACATATCATTACACTCTTCCGTTTATTTTACTGGAACGGTCTAAGAGCCGGTGGGAACGGCATGTGAAGTCCAGGGGCTCCGCGGAGCCCAGATTGAAGGCATCGGAAATGAACACAATCGGCGCGCATCGGAATTATTAAACCATGCTTCTTTCCTGTACGATCGACCCCGAATGGACCAAGGATTTTTCCGATTCGTAATTAATTTTCGCCGACTCCGCTGAACAGCATGCATATAAATATATTGTCAAGATCCAAACCATCGTTTTCTTTATTTTCTCGCGAAAAAAAATACACAAGTTCGCCGCCCCGATGTGATCCAAGTCTCAGAAACTCTTCAGCAGGGCTTTTCCGGAGGAAGGAAAGGGAAAGTTTGAAGAGAAGAAGAATTTATACAACATTCACCGGCTTGGTTCCACATTTTTCTGTCGTAGAACCCAGCGGACATGGTCTCTTTCCGGGAAAGTACACAAGACGGTCAACTCGAACAGGATTATAACGATTTTCAACGATCCAGTTCCCAAAAAATCGCCAAAGAAACGGTATGAAGTGTACATACATGGGCAAATTCAAATGATTTTTATCTCTTTACAAGTTATGTAAAACTTGCTGACATGTTCAAGGCCAAAGCTAAGTTTAGAAATTCGTATAATTCGCATTAGCACCCAGCATATCAATAAAAATCCTTTTAATAAAGCAATGATTGGATCATACAGTATTTTAAAATTCAAATCGCACTTGTTTGAGCGAGCACATATTTCGTGCGACGCTAGATCTTAATCATAATCCAAAATGTTTTTGACAAATTTTTCCAGGTGACCTCATACCGTTAGTTAATGGTGCAAGTTTTTATCAACGAATGTCTCGCGAATGCCTCAAGAATGACACAGAAGAATTTACTCTGCGTTTTAGTACAGTGCAATCCATTATTAAATTGTGCCTCGTGCTTCAATGTTCAATATAACTCAAGACATGGACGTAGACACATACAGTAATTTAAACTTACAGCCCGGCTGGATCTTAAATGACGGAAGATGCTTCAAGAGACGAACTATGATCATATTCCCAGCTCATGCTTCACTACTTTTTCAACTTCAGGAACCCTGCCTTAGCCCATATATCATGCAATTTCTTATGATGGAGCCACGAAATCTTTCAATTTGAGCTATAGACATGCAGTGATAGTCCATACAAAACATGTATAATCGACCAGATACGTTACCTTACACAAAATGACTAGATACTCGGGTGTGGGAAGTGAAAGAGAGATTCGAGTTAAAACCCGCATAGCAGTCTCACATGTTCGCTTACACTCGGTTTAAAATATATATGGAGTATGAGAAACACTGATTTAACGGCAAGAAAATGAGCTAGTTTTACAACTGCTCAGGTGATTTTTTCACCAGCAAATTTTTAAATTGTGAGTTTCGCCCCATCGCGAATGCCATTCCCTCGAATCATTACCCAAAAGCCTCCAGGTTTACACAGTACTGCAGTCGCGTGCGGATTATAATTGGGCAAAAACGAATTCCTTGAAAGGCCCCAAATTTGCCGGCTTGATGTCTCACGCACCTTATTTTTTAAATACTGTGGCTTTGAACTGCTTTTCTTCTTTTTTTTCGATCAGTCGCTGGTCCTCTGCGAAGTGCTCGCGGAGGCCACAGAGTTCCATTAAGCAAAGGTTGGGAACCACTTCTTCCGAAGGAATAAGTCCGAAGAAGGAGTCAACGTCGATAAGACGAAATTTTGCTCCACTGCCGCAAGAAGCGTCGTTTGATTGCTGCGCCCTGGGGGTTTTCCGAAGACGTGCCTACACAGGCCGTGTCGCCACACGGAAGCAACGTCGCAGGCGCTGACGTGTCCACGACGACAACGCGGGCAATGGCCTTGGGCACAACGACAGCGACTCTTCGACGGTTTGATCGATTTTTCGCGGAACTGCCACTAATTATAAGACCGGCCCCAGTGGGCAGCGTTCTTGGAAATCACCGACACTCTGGACTGGACGACAGAGTCCGTAATCGAGAGAACTCTAACCCACGTCTTCCCAAAATAACAGTGCTAGTTAAATCGAACCTAGTGCGGTTTTCGATGCATTTACTGATTACGAATTTATCGATTGCTGCGAAAACATGCGGCTCTCAAGAATTCTTCCCGGTGTAACGTGCGTCAATTTTGAATATAGTGCGCTGTAATGAAGTTCCGTATAAATAGGCAGCTTATTCATGGTCGATATTCGTGAAAGACAAAATGAGTGTTCAGAAAATAAACAAGAAAATCATATGAGCCATGAATTCAAATTATTCATAATTTTAATGACGTCTCCAAGCATTCGCAAGAACGCGTTTGAGCAATTACAGGCGATGTCTTGTAGACTGTGGAACCATCGCAGTTATTCACCCCATTAAATTGTCCAATGCCCTCACCATTATGAATGATGGAAGAAAATGCATGAATCTGAAATCACTTGTCTAAGGGTACTGAAGCTAAGGAGACGTACAAGCTGACATGAAATATGGGAATGATCGGCACTTTTGTGAATTCGCGTTTTCTCGTTGCAAATTTGCTGCAATTGGAAAGGGTTTATGATAATGAATAAAAGTATAACAGTATATTTCTGGCCAAGTTCTTTCGGATGCAACCAAGCACAATGCAGTCGCACTCAACACTACGAATTCGTAGAATGAAGCACATCGTTTTTTTGTGAAGAAAGGTCTCATTGTCTTTTGAACCACAAGGCATATCTTATTTGATTTCTAACGAGACATCTAAAGTTTGGAAGTCCAGTACATGTACTTTATTTTCTGAAAATAGCTAACTTATTCGTTTCCTAGCTGGATCTTGAGTAAGACCGCGCGGCATTCTTCGTGCGAATGTGTCAGACCGGATTCGAACGTTGGCGACATCTAGTGCTAAGTTAAATAAACTGTGTTTTGGTTGTTATGCATCCCCGATCAGTGACGCTGTAACACCTACGGTTAATCCGAATTAAAGCCACATTACTTTATACAGTACCACGTATTAGTGAGAAGCAGGCTTCTAATTTTCCACAATTATAACAAGACAGAATTTTGCCCTCATATGTTCTTGCCAAATGTTTGTCAGAGATTTCCGGGAAATAAGATGCGGAGGGAAACGAATTTCACTTTTTAAGTGATGCTTCAAGGAGAGCGCAGCAAGTACTGTATTGCATTCGCCCGTGTGAGAAGAAAATTCGCGAAGTCACGACTATATGTGAGGCATACAAATCACCGAACCCGTATTTTGGCTCCCAAATAATCGGTCAATAGTTAACTCGCGATTGTGGAGCGCGAAGCACGAGAGCGTAAATCCAACCCTGACATGAATAACCAACCAGAATAATCTTTGGGGAATCAATCCGAAGACAATCGGAGGCACGGATCACCCCGATGATGCTCACCGCGGGCATATGAGCCGCTTGATCGATGCTCGCGCGCGGAATCAACTCAGAACGGCATTCAAGTTTCCACAAGAAACGTAACCCGGATTCCACTTGGAAACATGGCAAATGCGGTCAGAGGAACTGCGACGTTTCGAAACGGCGTATTTATACCGAATGATGAAAAAAAGCTCTAAAATGCATTTTTTTACTGTATGCCCCATCGAAACTTCCATGCAGATTGTGGATCACTCTCCATACTACTGTATACTCCTAAAGCATACGCTCGCCCACACGGAGGGCCTCCAAGTTCTTAGATCGCATTGCTCAAACGCCGTTCACTTCCTCGGTTTTGACTTCATGGCGATTATAAAAAACGCGGCATTTCCGTCAACTCAATTTAACGGCAAACCGAGACCCGCAGATAACTTTCCGAAACGTACTGACGACATCAAAATTCTGTGAAATCCAAAATATGGTACAGTATTTTTAATTCCACTCTATAAAGGAAAGCATGATGTCCGACAGTTCTCGACTTCTCGCAGCTAGCGGTACGTAGACAGAAAATATGCGAGATGTTCCCGAAGTGCAGGAGAGAATTTTATCGAGTGATATTAAGTTAAAACTTATTCATTATATGGGCGAAATGGTATAAAAATGCAAGTGAAATGCATTTAAAAATGCATTTTAAGGAAGAAGCATAACGCTCGGGGAATGACAATAAGTTGAGGGAAAAATAACCGAAAAACTAAGAAATTTCATGTGAAGTGCATGCTGAGGGGAAATTGCAAAAAACGCAAAAAATTCTACGCAGCTTTAATCCGAATCAAAGTTATTGCAGGGATTTCGTGACAAATAGATACGGTTTCCGAACATGCAGCTTCCCGAAAAGGATGGAGAACACTGCCTTACAAAATACTCTCAACAATATTTTACCTTTAAAATTAAGAAAATGCATGTAAGAATCACGACGTCCATCCTGTCAGTACGTGATGCTTTCGACCGAGTGGGTAAACGTTCTCCAGTTGTACACCGAAATCGCCGTTTCAGTGTCGCGAGCGATTTTATTGTGGACCTCACGTATGCAGAAAGGAACCACGTGATCATCAATTTTCACGCTGGACTCACACTGACTTGTAAAATAAATCACAAGAAACAAACGGGAACTGATATGCGCATTCATGCTACACTATCTTCAGAATTCGATCGTGAGCAACTAAATCCAGATAAAAATTCGAAATCGAAATCTGAAGCTGTTAGCGACCTCAGAATGCAGATAAAATTAAGTACACTCAAATCACTTCCGAAGTAAATAACGAGTGAATCAGACTTTCTCGAGTAAAGGCGATTAAAAGTTAAGAGAGTGTTCGCTGAAAAGCGCTTATTCGTGGCTCCTCTTTCGAAGTTCGTGTGTGTCGATTTTGATTCTCGCGTTACAGTTGACCTATTTTTGTGCCGTTTTCTTCAGAAAAAAGCGTCCAGGTCACGTTCCATTGTGATCAAGCCTAATCAAAAATCGTTAAACTCCACATAGGAAAACTACAACAGAAAACATTGTCTTCCTCTCGATTGCTTCAATAGCTTTTGACAAGATCGCAGTCGCCGCTGAATCCGCCCACGACACTCGAAGGAAGAGAAAGCAGTAAGTGCCATTGATTGAGCGGAACGTTCGATTCATTCCTCAATGAATGACGAATCTTGACCGAAGTCTGCTTAAGACAAGAGCGTTGAATAAGATCAATCGGATCATCAATAATATCAACCCCGCACACGAATCGAACTGGGTCAAGAAAAATCATGTTTTTTCACCACGAACCGAACCGGTGTCGAAGCAAAGAACCTTGGTTCGGAACCTACTGAGTCTCCTTCATCCTAACGCTCCGGACGTAACGTGGGGAAGAAAAAAAAAGATTTTCCAGCCTCGGCGCCGTGATCTGGAATGAAAGCTTGGATGAAGACCTTATTTCCCATGCGAGGAGGATGCTCGTTGCCTGCACAGGAGCTTTCGGATTTAGCGGGATCCTACGCCGCACCACCGGGAAAGAATATCCCGAAGAAAAAATTGACATCAGTTTAGTATACGAGACCTGCCAAGCTTGTAGGTCTGGAAAAATAAAGCTCGCGAGAAGCTGCCTCTGCCTCGGATGAATACATCGGCTTCTGCGCATATGTTAGAAATAATCTCCGAAACAGACTTGAAAACGACTCCGGTTCTGAACGTAATACAGTACAATACATTTAATAATGAATTTTGCAGGCCAGAAGCACGACGTTCCGCACTAGAACAAAAGTGTCATTTCACTTCCCACTCCCAATACTAATTTCTACAAATATACAGGCGCAGTACTGTATTGATGAAAGCGAGTTACAGGAGCAATCCCATCCCCTCCACAGAAATGCACCGAAAAGCTTGGGATTCGGCCTCCAATATAAATGAAGTGGGGAAACCAGCATGTCAGGGGTAAGTCAGATTAACATAACTCCGGCCATTCGAAAAGCACAAGAGTTTTCTTTTTCAGGCTTTAATTGTCTACGACAGTTTGCAAAACGAATGCGCTTCTGTTTCATGCCTGTATTGGCCGCAGTTTCCCCTTTAGAATTTCATGCCTGAAGTGAATGAGGGATTCAATTTTGTGGGAAACGGGAAATGATTCTGATGCGCATGATCCACTCTTTTACTTCTTTTGTTTGGAGAAGGAAAGAAAACGGATTGATTACTCACAGTCCAGCTGTGCAGCACCGACTTTTCCGGAACTCACTCGGTCCTTGGGCATCGTTGTTCCCCCTGAAAAAGAGAAATTGACGCTTTATGAATTTTTGTGAGCATGATTTTGCTTTGCGCAAGACCAATCCAAGTTGAAAAAAAACCAAAGCTTCAAACACGACGTTCTATGTCTAATTATTGTCCATTTATGAGCCTCTAGGAGTTGGAATTCAAGTCATAAACTTACATTCCGCGCAAGATACTAGTGATGGGATGAAATGCCGAAAAATAAATGATCAACACTTCAGAGGATTCAAAACAAAATGATTCTCCTTCAGATTTCGTACGAAAAGATTCTAACATTGTCTGGTACAAAAACAATAAAATTTCTTTTGAAGGCTTGATGACGACGTGATGTCGTTAACATTTAAAACAGCACGGGGCAGCATGAATGCCATGGTTGTACCAGTGTTGAGCATCACCCGGATTCACAGAATTTGAATTTTGCAATGTTATTCTACTGTGCTGATATGTGATTTTTACAGATGACGTAAGCAGCAACATCCCGACTATTTTGTAAATCCCGCAGCACTAAATTAATGAAGCCGGATCTAAGGAACGTGGAGTCGGAAAGGAAGCAGTATCCCCGGTTGTTTTTCGTGGCTTTTATTACGTAACCATGATTCCATGTTTCAGCTGACTACATATGAAACCTCTTTCCCGAACCGCTTTTGATCTTCGGAGCGGAGGAATTCTGTTTGAGGATATTTCGTTCCTCGGTTTCATTGGATACACAGAGACATGTACACTCTCAGGGGTAGTTCGGAATCGTCGGTAAAAGCCTCGACACGGCGTAATTTAATCGCTATCGCCTTTAAACGAACTTTACGTGACTAAATACGCATTCTGTGCATTTTAAAGCTAGAATTCGAATCACGAACTAGTGAAAACATTCACCTGGAAAGAGCACCAGAGGTCGAAGACCATCTATTGACTAAAATATGTCCATGTTGCGAAAAGAGGATTTGAACTGAAGCCGCAGTTCGTGCGGAAATTTGATCCCCGTAAGATTACGAGCCGCACATGAACCAGCGTGAGCTTCATTAGATCAACAAAAAGTCAAAACCTTGTCCTTATTTGCTAAAAAAAATTGAACTACTTTTTTTGTGAATCTGCAGTCTTGAAAAAAATTTATCCGGCTCACGGGATCGCAGTTTCAAAATACGTACATAAAAGCTGATCACATTTTCCATCGGAGAAACTGGGAAGGTGAAAGGATGAGGCGTGAGGTGAAGAAACTAATTATACATCCGAGGGTTCCCGTTTTCGCAACAAATGTAAGCTTGAAGGTGGCCTTCGTTATATGGTTCAAGCTTATTTTGAGGGAAGAACGCAATTTGACCCGAGGAATGCGTTTAAATTTTCAAAGGCGAGGATGAAAGAACCTACAGAATCCCAGGGAACCATTAAAGAAACTACGTACCGCACGTGATCCATTTTTCAACGCAGAATGCATGAGTAAGAAAATTCGCTGCATTTCGCAGCTCGCGGGACTTCGTCATGCATCCAAGAAAAGGTCACTATATTCTATAACATGACGGCCGTTGTGTCTCGATAAAAGAAAGGTAAGCTATTGGAAAAATATACAATAATGCCTCTGGAAGCACTGTAATTGAAAATGAATGGAACTGATGAGAACAACGAAAATTTGAAAGAAAAAAATCATGAAATTTTTTTTGGGTTACTGTACATCCAGAATAGCCTTTCTAAGCTAGCGATTTGCATTGGAACATTTTGTTCGGTTCAAAAAATGCTGCGAACATCAGAAATAATTTTTTCAAGATATAGTCCGACAATCGAAGGCTGATGTTTTCTTCTTTCTTCTTTTTAAGAGACACCCGTTATGCCCGGAATGTGGAGTTAGGATACTTGAAGAAGCCCGTGGTGGTTCTACCAAAATGGTTGAACGAGAGCCAAGCATAGAAGCGTACAGTACTTTTTTAAAGAGATGGAAGAGCTACGTTGACAACAACTACGACGGAAGTCGACAAGGACACCAGAACCACCGACCAGCAGGAAAAAAAAAAAAAAACCAGTCACCTTTAGCCAAAGGGTTTCTGATTGGAGAAAAATTAGAGCCACTGGGACCTGTTTCTGTAGATGCAGCTGTAACTGCAACTACTGAACAAGCATCCGGAACACTTCGGCTTTCTTTGGGCACAGAGTGATCTGCGACTCGACCGGGTCGATCCACTAAACATGTCAAAAATGCGAGTGAAACGTCGTTGAATCGGAATGCCTGCAAGTGTGATTGACAGAAAGCTCTTCGTTGGTCTGCATAAGATCCTAAGTTTTTTTTTTAAATCTTGGTCGAGATAATCATAATTTTCTTTCCAGAATAGGTGGAAATGAATTTATGAATCGCAGTCGAACATGAAGTAAGAGGGCTAGTTCAAAAGTTTTATTGAGTCATGTACAGCACGTCAACTGATCGGAGTTTTGGATGAGATATGGATGTAATTTTTACGGAATGATTTTTCATCATTGACTCAGCCAAATTGGTAAGCAGAAGAGACAAGGAAAGCGCATCCACTCATTGTCAGGGAAAACAATTTCTTGACAATTTCAAGGTGACAATTTTGAAATTGCAGGTGACAATTTTGAAATTGCAGGTGACAATTTCACATTTTCTGAATTTTCACACTTACTGTAGCTTGAAGTCTAAGACATACTGAACACTTCATGTAATTGAAAGATACAGCATTCGAAAATATTTCAGAAAGGAAAAAAATTTGAAGAGAGGCAAACTATTCTAATACAGTATCGGACAATTTTTCATAGGCATGACTGCGATTGAAGAAATCCTCGAACTTTTGTACAGAAACTTAGAAAATTCTTTTGATTGACCCCACCATGTTTCGAAAGATTCTTATTCCGATTTTTGAGGGCGAAAACATATGATTTCTTGCCCGAATACTGAAAATACTTCGAAACAATCCCTCGTTATTCTGTTCACTCACGACAGCATCGTACTGGGGTTCGACCGTCGAATTTAATGCAAAAATAACCTAGAATTGAGAGATAATCTTGAGAGAATGGTTTAAAAGCTTGCTTCTTTGGAAAGACAGGAATTATTTTTTTTAATGTGAGAAACGATTGCACGAAAAATTTGATATGTATTTTTTCTTGCGAATGAATCATTTTTCACGATATATATAGTGACCGGGGGTTTCGCAGGAGAAAAGTTCAACGTTTATCGTTTTGGTCATCTACAATTCTACATCTTATAAAGATTTGGCCGTTGGAAAACACTCTAACGACTTCGACATCAGAATTAATTATCGACAGTTAAAAAACCTTGAATTCGTATAAGAACGTAAACTGAGAAAGATTTCGAAGCAATGGGTCAAGGTGCAGCTGAGGTCCAATTAACAGTCTTGTTTGTCGAGCGGAACCATCACAGGATGAGTACTCCAGGTCAACAACGAAGACGTGCGTTCATTAAATAGCTACCTAGTTACAGTACTTGATTTAATACGCACGGAAAAACAGCTTCGCACGGTAGCCATCGTTTACGGAGCACACATCAGGTAATAATGATCTGAGGCGAAGACGTCTCTCTGTCCGTCACACTTGACTCATTTCATGCAAGCGTGCAATATGCGAAAAGGGGAAACAAGAAAAGGTACTCACCGGCTTCCACGGTTGGAAAACCTGGGTGATCAACTACACTACCAGCCTGCTCGGCAGGCCTGGCAGGTCCCTGAGGCGGTTTGCTCGACGCACCAGAATGGCTCTCTCGAGTGCCAGTTGCCGAACTGTCATTCTCACCCTCGTCGGGGTTACGCTGACGGTACACGTTGGTGGGCGGCTGGGGACCTTTGAAGGAAATCGACAGAAAAGACAGAAACTTGATTAAAGGAATATCCTTTCCGAGCTACAATAAGGAATCCAATCACACTCGAGAAAGTATTGGCCTTCTTTAGACGAATGAAACTAACAATACCAGCGAGCGAGCGGGCCTCGCTTCATGAATTTCTCCCAAGGAAATTTCATCCGCGGTAGTTTGCCAAGGGAATGCTCATGCACGACACGTTAGTCTGGAACACATACAGTATACTTTTTCTGCTCGCGTTTCTTAAACGTCTGCCCATTTCCTGTCAAGCTTTGTTCACAGCTTTGTACCCTCAATGAATGCTTCTCACAAGACACGACGAACTCAATTCCAACGCTTTCTTTCAAGTTCTTCCACCATTTTTATTTATTTTTACAAAAACCCGTCTATAGCAATACAGTAATTGACACTTGGAATGCTCGATAATATGCTAAAGATTGATGAGAGCAATTTTCTATCGTATTGTTGATTTCAGTTATCAAAAAGGTCATTCAATAAATCAGAATGAAACATAAACTCGAGTATTTTGTTGAGCACATACATTTTCCGTCAAAGTTTGTACATTTCATGAGTCGTTAGTTGTGCTTTTCTTGTTCTGCTCAAGCAAAAGAATAATATAGTTACGCGTCGGCCGCATTCGGATTAGAGGCTACGATTTTAAAATAAGAATTTTACAAATGAAAAAAAATGAGAATTTTGGAGGAAGCTGTGGCATGAAAATAATTTTTCGTGAAAGAAGACACGGCATCGCACCATACAGTCGAGAAACAACAAAATTATTCCAAGGTCAAGTTCTCGCGATAACAAAGAAATTCGGTTGATTCCCGGAAAATTTTCTGAAATGCAGCGCATAAAAATACTTTTATTTTTTTTTTAAATATTTTCCGAACACTTTGCGATTGACATAGCGCGACCTCAAATACAATTACTGTACTGTAATAGGCAAACCTTCAGAACATAGAAAAGGGCAGTCGATATCACAATTGCTGTAGTTAAATTTTTTGGATTGTGCTACTACCAAGACAAGGCTGTGTCTTTATCAAACTACTTCCCGGACATGACCTGTGGCTTTCAACTCAGATTGAGGACACACTACTTCATAATTTCAAAAATTCACGGAACATGAAATTCGCATTCAAATATCCGCACACTAGGAGTTTGGCTTCTTTTTCCGAGTCAATTAGTTGTTGCTCCCCTTTCTTTCAATTCTTTTACGCGACATATTCATTATACAGTATTCCACCCTCTCGGTATACCAATTCACCATTGTACTCATCGAGAAGCCTACTTCAATCCTAGGCAAATCTCGTGAACCAACTGACACGTACTCGAGCACCGCATGTTGCAAATCCCTGGTTTATTACGCAGTACTTTGCAATAATCTCTACACTCATGGACGTAAAGTAAAAAAAAAATCGAGATCAGCTTTTTCATTGGGGGACGTGAGCACTCACGTCGAGCAGAAGCTTCGGACGGCGAAGAATCAGAATCAGACGACTCGCAGTCTGACATGTTCGCAAAACTTCAGAATACCCCGACTCGACACGACGGAATCGCTCCCGAGAGACACGCACGAACCCCTGCCTTGACCGCAGGTCCCGGCGTCAGATTAGCATCGCAGGGGTAAACGTGATGAACGGATATCGCGGGATTCGGGAAAAACAGGGAAGGCGGGATTTCAATCCCCGCGCCAGAGGAACGCCGTTGTTCTCGGTGTCACAGCAGCCGCAGTTGTTCCAAAAATACTTCCGCTCCAAAACTTCACTTAGCGGGCCAGGTCCGGGACAGGGACACGGTCCGTCTCTCGACGGCACATGATCGAAATCGAGCCGGGATTTCACCTCGTCGCGCTCCTACTGAACCGCCGTGTCACCGAATGTCCCGGCTTGTTTTTCGCCGCTCGGTCTCCTCGACGAAAACCACGCCTTGACATCCGGTGCAATTTACTAACACTGCACAAGTGACGGCTTCAACCTGTTTCCCGCTCTGCCGCTGTCGGCTTCCCTGCGTCTGCGGCCGAATCAGCCACACTGCGGACACATCTTTCCCGTCGCCATGAGGCAATGAGCTCAACTGTTCCCACGGAAAACACGTGCTCGGGATTCCTCGGCTTTTGCCTTCACGTTCCCCGAAACATGGAACAGTATCGCTTCTTCGCGGATACTTCGGGTTCCATAACGCTAACATACGCGTGCGCTCCGAAGTGAAACCCACATCCGAAAACAGTAATCAATATGGAATGTGCAGTTTTCGTCTCAAATTCGGGGCCACGTTTCCCCATACCTGATCAACTTGAATTCCCAGTGTATATACGCTTATCAAAGTGACGACCAACATTATGAGCAGTATAAAATTGAGAAATTCATGAAAACTAAATGGGATCACGAAGAATCTTGTTGCTATGCGTTTGGGTTTGAAATGTAAGACACGATAGTCATGAAAGTAATGCAATTTCGGCAGAAATTCCAGAAGGTTTTCTTGAATTTCAAAGAATTGGTGCTCGGTCCACCGAATTTACGGTAAAATGTAAACATGCATAATCGCGATTCGAACATGGGTCCAATTTCAATCGGAAATTATAGTTTGAACAGGAGCCTGTGTGCAAGAATTTAAAATTATTTTCATCAATTACAGATGAAATACATGGAACGTTGATCAAATTCAAGGCACAGGAAAAGTACCGGCCCTTATAGCTGATGCAAATGCACAGAATCGATCTGAACGATTCACGGTGAATGGATTCAATCAGCGGGTATCAACTAAACAGGTGTTGGACACATCATGACTGATGAACACGACTAGTTCCAGCAATTAATAATATACCTGTAAAACCAGCGAAATGAACGCGTCGTTTTAGGAATACCGTGTAATCCATCGATTATTTTGTCGCATTCAAAGAGGACAATTTCGAAAAATAGCCGGGAAAAGTTGTAGCTTTAAGTCTGATTTCGGATCGCCAATACTCGCCATTCTCAGCGTTATTCTTAATAGAAAAAGAGACAAAAGGGTGACTCATTGCATGATTTACTCGACTGTCCTACGTGATCGAGTCGCACCCAGTCCTTTGTCCAAAAATAAGGGAGTTTACGGAACCGAATCCAGGAAGAATTGTGTGCTTCGTCCCGAGCCGTGAAAGCACGCACGCAGCGGGTCGCTGCTGGCTCCCTCACTTCCCAATTCCATCAACATGGAACTATCGAATACAAAAATACTAGCGCTTTTTCCCAATCCCAACAAAAATTAATTTTCATCCTCTCGTTCAGGCAGCGTTCTGGTTGCTTAAATTTACACAGTCCGCGGCACATGTATGCTCGAAATAATCGGGATATCTACATAAGAACCAAGAATAAACTCTTCACTGGCTCATTTCCCACCCGAAACATGTAATGCAGCATTTTCGTGAAGTTGGATCATCAGCGCCGGAGAATTTCTCTTCTAAACTTTTCTGGATTACCAGCAGAGAACTTCACTTGTTTCGTCTGGAAATAGATCTCATTTCCACCTGAAAATGTCCCATTTGCTTGCAGTTCAAATGAACCCCTCAGAAATTGCGGAACAAACTTCAGATGCGGTCTAAACGAGCGTGAACATTGTATTGCCGTATAAGTCGAGCGTCCCGCAGAAGGAAACGTAAAACAAGGGATCAGTGCCCAGGATGATAATTTTTTGTAAGGGAATAGAGACTGAAAACAACTCCACGAATGAGGCGCGCACACTTCATTACTGTCGTCGCATTTTCCTCAAGTTTTAACTGAGGGGAGAAAAACATTTCCTTGGTGAGATTCAAAAACAACAGAGAAATTATTGTCTTGGGTACTTCATCAGATATTTATCCTGTGGGTTGGTGTTTTTTGCTGTCTCGCCACGAAAGTCTCAGCGCAAAACAATCTCTTTTGTCTCGAGCGAATGGATTTTCCCCATATGTATGCAGAACCGTGTCCCAAGAAATACAAAATTATCTATGGAACCAAGTTAGGACCGCTGTACTGTATCTGGATTATGGCCTGATCCAGGACATTCTGGACATTCTTTGGATGCACGAAGCATCAAGGGATTCACAGTTCCGTCGATCCAATGTGAATCTTTCCATTGCGACGAGCAGTCGGGCCTCACATGCTTCCACAAATATTTACCTCATCGTTTGGAAAAACTCGCAAGGAAATGCGGACCTCGCGTTTGTGTATACATCATCAAGCACATCCCTTCCAACTTCGCGTGTACGCAATACAAGCTTGCGTCGGTTGACACGATGGAAGCACTTCGCATCTTCTACTGGCGGGAAAATTCATTTAAAATCTTGGATTTATGAGAAGAGCTTTAAAATGTATTTTCACGAATGCGAAGATTCATCACATACGTGGTGCAGGATGAAAAAGAAACCGCGCATCAGAGAACAAATCATTGCGAAAAATTTTGAAAAATTAGAAGCCCGACGCAGGCTTCAATCCCTTTGACACATCTGGAAAAACGGAGGTCCCTATACAAGACTATATTTCGATTGATGAATCCAGTTTCTTCAACCGAACGCGATCCCATAGTATGTGTTCTGTTTTCGGAGATCAAGAAGACGGATTCGCCAGAGGAAGAGAGGAAATGCTACTTGGCGTAGTCAGGAGCAATCAAGATGAACGCTCAGTCGTGACATTATTGCTATTGTGTTCCTTTTCGGCGGGAACTCCTCGCTCACTCTACTATGCAGTGAGCCCTGAAAGTTTTATCGGCCCATATCAGGTTCCTCCGAGCCATGAAGAAGAGTCACGAGTCATGATACTTCGTCAACGCTCAGATGAGTCAACTTCAACAGCAGAAGGGCAACGGAACGTAACTTCGCGAAGGAATCCGGAACTCACATGAGCTTCGAAAACATGGAACCCATCAAACTTCTCAGCAAGCTGCGGAAGTCGTTCACGTAACATCGGCTAGCAAAATCATTACGTAACCGCGTTGATTAGAGTAGCTACGGATTCGAATAAAACCCCAGAAGCTACACCCCGCATAAATCTTTTTTACTCCATTTCGGATCCCATATGATTTCCTGAGTGCCTTTTCGAATAGTCATTTAATCAACTGCACTTCCTGAAGATACAGAAGAAGTATCCTATTATAGCGTCGGATACTTCATCGAGGCTTTCATGATATTTCATGCCTCAGTAGTACTGAATCTGAGCTCGAAACACGCGGAAGTACGGAAGCTTGGGAAGAAAATAGATTCCAGTGAAACCAGAACTTGGATCTTGGCTTTCCTTCTTTGATTTCCAAGTTAACCTCTCAAAACGATTAATCCACTGTACATTATTTGCGTGGATATTCTCATCATCTGGTTTTCGCAGGATTTTTCCCAGAAAAATGCCGAACTTCCCTCCGAAAAGCGCATTTCCCCGAAAATGACGTCTTATCCAGCTTGGGGCATTCCAGCGGGTGCGTTTTAATAGGATAGTTTTAAAATTTTAGGCTAACTGTTCATTGAATTTTAAAAATGCGAGAAGTATGATTGCTGAGGCGCTAAATTCGGCTGAATCCAGAATTTTTATGACTCCACTTACCACAGAGATAATAGTCTCACAGCAAATTAATTTAAGATTCGAATTTAAGATTCGAGTTGGATGTGAAATTCAACACTGCCGTGCAATTTAAATTCAATTAGATCATACACTATTCAAAAATAATATTAATATTGCCTGGATTTTCTTGAGTGACACTCATCTCAGAAAAATCTCTGAAAATTATACCCATCTTTATCAGTAAATCTTCTCGTGGGAGTCCGATAAATTTTAACGTCAAAATTTGAATAAATTAACGGTTAATACATTTTTAACATCAAAATTACTCAATTTAAAGGTTGCGAGAGTTGCAGCAGCAAAACTGCAAATAATGAACCAGGCTTTATAAATTCAGAACAGCTCACCAATCACCTTTTAGGTTGAAGTAGAATCTCATTACAACGAACTCCCAGGGACCATAAAAAATTCGCTACAACGAAAAATTCGTTATACTGAAATTTATGTACTCATTTGCAGAAACATTTTAACATGTGAACACGCATTTTACTGCTTTAAAAAGTCAGTGATTTTACTCTGGGCAATTTGTGCACAGTATCTTTGCCACATAATTCACTAAGACATCTCCCAAATGCTTCTGGAACTTGAAAACATGATCCTTTCACTAAAATAATTGAAAATTTTCAAAAAATGTAACATTTTAAAATAAAACTCCTCACAAAAGAGCATTTGAATGAAATTAATCTCAACAATTTCATTCGAATGCTCTTTCGTGTGGAGTTACGGCTAGCTCCTTGAAACACGGGTTGGGAATCTTGACTCTAAAATATCGAGAGCAACACATGGTTTAAATTACGTTTCGGACGTCGAATCCTGGCGCATTTCAAAATTGAAAGCTGGGCACGAGTTTACCCTGGGTTAATCCTTGCACTCGCATGGACTGGGTGGAATTAAGCATGAATGAATATTCCATCGCATCAATAAAGCCCGGGGTCGACAGACGGCGGGGTGCAC